ACCCTAACCCTAAACCCTAACCCGAACACTAAACCTAATCCTAACCCTTAAACCTAATCCTAAATGGGCACTAAACCTAACCCCTAACCCTAACCCTAAATGGGCCCTAACACTAAACCCTAAAACCTAACCCTAAACCCTAACCCTAAACCTAAACCCTAACCCTAACCCCTAACCCTAACCCTAACCTAACCCTAACCCTAACACTACCCTAACCCTAAACCTAAACTCTAAACCCTAACCCTAACCATAAATCCTAACCCTAACCCTAACCCCTAACCTAACCCTAATCCTAACCCTAACCCTAACCCTAAACCCTAACCCTTAACCCTAAACCCTAACCCCTAACCCTAAACCTAAACCCTAACCCTAACCCCAACCCTAACCCTAACCGAACCCTAATCCTAAACCCTAACCCTATCCCTAACCTAACCCTAACCCCTAACCCTAACCCCTAACCCTAACCCCTAACCCTCACTCTGGGTTAGGACCCACGGCCCACGGCCCCCAACATTGGGGTGCCTGCCATTCCAAACCCCAGTGACCGGGGCACCAGCTTCGGGGGTGGGCGCTGAACTGCCCTGATGGCCCCTGAGGCCTGTGGCCCCCCTGCCACTGCGGGGGCCCGCCGGGCCGACCTGAAGGCCCCCCCGGCTCAGTGCACACAGAGGCCCTTTGAGGCCAAACGAAAGCCTGTAGGCCCACCCCAAATCAGTGTGCACAAAGGCACTTGGAGGCCAAGCGAATGTCCATAGGGCCCCTCTGGCTCAGTGTACACAGAGGCCCCGGGAGGCCTCACGAAAGCCTGTAGAGCCCCTTCCCCTCCGCCTGTTGTGCATGGAGGCCCTTGTAGGTGGGACGAAAGCCCATAGAGCTTCCGCGGCTCAGTGCGCACAGAGGTCCTTGGAGGCCAAATGAAAGCACGTATGGTGCTCCCGTCCCAGTGCGCACAGAGGCCCTATGGACGCCAAAGGACAGTCCATAGGCCCCCCCCAGCCCAGTGCGCATGGAGACCCTGGGAGACCGTACAAAAGCATGTAGGGCTCCCGCGGCCTAGCGCGCAGGGAGTTCCTTGGAGGCCAAACAAAACCCCGTAGGGCCCCCCCAGCCCAGTGCGCATGGAGTTCCTTAAGGGCCAAATGAAAGCACGGTGTGGCTCCCCCAGCCCAGTGTGCATGGAGGCCCCGTGAATGTCTGTAGAGCTCCCGCAGCTCAGTACACAGAGGCCCTTGGAGGCCAAACAAAACCTGTAGGAGGCCCCGCCCAGCACCGTGCGCACCGTGTGCAAGGCCAAACGGAAGCGTGTAAGGCCGCCCTGGCCCAGTGAGCACGGAGGCACTGGGAGGCTGCACAAATGCCCGTAGGGCCCTCCATGCCCTATGTGCATGAAGGCTTTGGGAGGCTGCACAAAAACCCTTAGGACCCCCTCTGGCCCAGCATGCATGGAGGCCCTTGGAGGCCGTACAAAAGCTCGTAGGGCCCCCACCGCACAGTGCGCACGGAGGCTTTGGGAGTCCTCACAAAAGCCCATAGGGCCCCTTCTGCCCAATGTGCATGGAGGCTCCGGAAGGCCAGACAAAAGCCCAGCATTGCCCACCCAGCTTAGTGAGCATGAAGGCCCTTGCTGACTGCCTAAAAGCCCTTATGGATCCGCGGCCCACTGTGTACGGAGGCCACACCAAAGCACATGCCGCCCCCCCTCTGTGCACAGAGGCCCTGGGAGGCTGCACTAGTGCCTGTAGGGCCCCTGTCATGTGTGGATGGCACAGATGGATGCACGGCTGGAGCGACACGACTGGTTTTTAATGGCAGCACTTTCACAACCACTCCCCTCACGCCATGATGTCCCATTTGTCCCACAAGTGATGTGAGCCTCCAAATAGGGCTGGCTGTGGGCCCGTGAATTCCGGGGTGGCAGAGGAACAGCGTGGATGGGCTCCTAGCTGGCACTGCGTGGACCAAACTCTGGCAGAGAGTCACCCCGGGGCGCCAGGGAGGTGTTTGAGCACTGCAAGACACGATCGCTCCCGGTCTGCATGTGTCCAGCGCCATGCAAGGGACAGCTCCCATCCCGGGGGGCACAGGACCCAGCTGTGGCCACAGTGTCATCCGTAGGGGACCCAATGTTGGGTGGGCTCGTCTGTGCGTCTTCCTCCAGCTCCTCGGTGCCAGTTCTGACCTGGAGCTGGGAGCTGGATCTGCCATCCTGGATGACACTCACCTGGCAGGGCACAGAGGCTGCCACAGGGCCGTCCCCACCGTGGCGGGGGGCCGGAGCCTCACCAGACACGCAGCTCTCACACTCCGGAGAAGCCTCATGGCCATTGGCTCCTGTCTCTGCGGCTGCATCGTCCCAGCCTCGCACCACAGCCCGCTCTGGCGCGGCCCCGTCCACGGAGCCGAGCAGGTCACCCTCTCCTGCTGCCTCCTTGGCACCTGCTGGAGCCTCCTCGGGGAACCAGCCGCCCACCTCATCCGCCTTCTTGCGTGGGCGCCCGCGCCGCCGTTTGGGTGCATCTCCAGGTGGCTCCAGGGGATGCTTGGTGGCCTTGGGGCGCTGCGTGATGTGCGGGCCAGGACCCGGGCTCTCTCCTGGCATGTTCCAGGGCTTGCTGGGGCTGTCAGCAGCACAGAGGCCGGCGCCAGGCGGTGCGCGGGGCCACACA